ACCACCTACAATGACTTCCTTGTCAATCACCCTGTTCAGGTGCAAGTTGCTGTGCCCACTGTCCAGATGGTTGCAGCTCCATCTCAGACACCTACTCCTGTTCCTACTGAAGTAGATTCCTTAGACATAGCTGTTAACATGGTTCCAGCCAAATCAAAAAAATCGAAGAAACCGCAGCCAGATAACCAAGAGAGAAACTTCCATTGTCAGGAGTGTGGGTCTTCCTTTACCAACAGTTCAAATCTCCGTAGCCATATGCGAATACACTCTGGTGTTAGACCATATGTTTGTGAGGAGTGTGGTAAATCTTTCATTCAGAGTTCTAATTTAAAAGCACACAAAAGAGTGCATACTGGGGAAAGACCTTACCAGTGCTCAGAGTGTGGGCAGACATTTTCTCGTTCTTCGCATTTGGTTGGACATAAAAGAACTCACACAGGAGAGAGGCCATATATTTGTGGTATTTGTTCTGAGGCATTTTTCACATCATCGCATCTGAGAAATCATGTTCGGCGTCACACAGGTGAGAAACCATATGTATGCCAGTATTGTGGGGAGTCTTTTGGACAGAGTGTTGAATTAAGGGTACATCATCGTTATCATACTGGTGAAAAACCCTTCAAATGTAGAGAATGTGACACAGCACTTATTTCAGCAAGAGAACTTAAAGCCCATAGAAAGGTACACCATCTAGGATCTAAGCCTTTCAAATGTGAGCAGTGTGACAAATGTTTTAGGACGCTTACCTTCTTGACGAAGCACAAAGTACGCTGCAAGGGTCCTAGGCCTAAGCGGCCAAAGGGAAGACCCCGCAAATATCCAAGAGCCGATGGAGAGGAACCTCCATGGAAGAAGCCAAAGAAAAGGAAGAACAGGAGACCAGCAGCACCAACCGACCGAGTATCACGATCCAGGAGTAAAGCTATTATTGATGCCCAGTTGAAGCAAGAAACTGAAGATTCCCCTGATGCTGAAGCAGAAAAGCAGCAAGATATTGAACAGATAGATAAAGAAGAGGATAACATACAGCCTGAGACTGAACAAAATGATGAGCAGACTATCCAGTTAGAAGAAGCAGAGCTAAAGACTGAGGTAGAACTAGAGCACATAACCCAACTCCCAATGGTGCAGGTAATGCTAGATAATCTTGGATCTGAGGCTGAGGGTTTGGATGGTACACATCCTCAAGCACTAGTGCTTCAGTCCTCAACGGGCACTGTCCATAGTCTCCATGCCTTATCAGAACATGCAGAACAACAAATAGGAGTAATGGATTTATCAGGTCAACAGATCCATCAGGATGATCAGCAAGTAGAAAGTGTCCAGCAAGCCATCAGTATAATTCCTGCTCATCAGTCATTACCTGTAGTATCTTCAGGACATCAGCAGATGGCAGTGATCACTGCTCATCAACAGTTACCTGTTGTGACTGCACATCAGCCAGCTATGAGTGCCCATCAGCAGGTACCTACAGCAAATGCTCATCAGCAAGTCTTGAGTGCTCATCAGCAGTTACCTGTTATAAGTGCACACCAACAGGTACCTGCTACAAATGGCCGTCAACAGGCAGCAAGCAGTCACCTTCAGTTGCCAGTTGTTAGTGCTCATCAACAGACAAGTACGACGCACCAACAAATACCTGCAGTAACTGCTCATCAACAAGCTGTTAATGCACATCAACAGTTGCCTGTAGTAACTGCACATCAACAAGTAGCGAGTGCTCATCAGCAGGTGGTTACTGCTCACCAGCCAGTCTCTGTGCTTGCAGCTCATCAACATGTGTCAGCACACCAACAGGGTCTGGTTGTTACTGCACATCAACAAGTGCCTGTTGTATCTGCACATAAGCAGAGCAGTCTTGGGTCTAGTGGAAGTTCCACTGTAGTTTATGAAGCAGGACAGCCTTATGTGGTGGACCTCTCCAGTCCAGCACTCACTTCGCAGGTTCCCCTTGTCAACCAAAGTGTTACAACTACTCAGTATGCGAGACCTTAATGTAACACAGGTCCTGACCTCGCCTTGCCCTGTCTTGTCTTTTATAAGTCCTTTATAGACAACGATACTTTATGCTCGTCTCCAAATATGTGCCACATCCAGAGAGCCACAAGCTTGCGAGACATGCTGTGGAAAACTTTATCCAGAATATATAAAAGTATCAAGTAGCCTGTGCAGTCCAAACTTAAAGCTGGAAATGGTTGTAACAGAAACTCAAAATGTACAGGTTTGTCATAGTAGTTAAAAAAATCTTTTACATGTGTTCTTGCATTTGTAAACGTATATGACAGCTTACATACATCTCCTTTAGGCTTATTGTAGTGTTTCTTGACACTTATTTGTGATGACCAATGTAGTTTCTATGCATTGCTATTATATTGTTACTATTTGAAAGTATAAGACTTGAAGATTTTTAACTTTGCAAGCTTATGAATACACAATTTGATATGTGATTGCAGTTAGTGCCGTAAGTAGGAGCTAAGGCTCTTGAATTAGATATTACTTAATATTAAGATCCTGAATGAGAAGTTCCCAATATATTTAGTGTGTACAGTTTGTGAATTTAAGAAGAGGCATTGTTAATTTTTATGGTAATTCTTAAAGGTTTTATTCCCTGACTTAAAGTGCATAAGAGAGAGTAGTTTAATGAAAGATTTTCTTATGGGCATGTTCAAAGTTAAATGCAGTGCTGTTAAAGTTTTTTTTTTTTTTTTTTTTTTTTTTTTTTTTTTTTTTTTTTTTTTTTTTTTTTGACTGACAGAGCTCTATTGTCAGCAGTGTTGGCATTATTTAATGGAATAAATTGTGCACATCATTAAGTACTGACTAGTTACTTCCTATTTCAAGGATAGAAGTACCTAATGATATTGGTTATGAGATAACCAGGAAATATGTCTTTGTCTGTGTGAAGCAGAATAAAGAATATTTGCATTTGTGGATGAAATTATACATAATATGTAGAAACAAAAGTTCCAACTTTTCTGTTCAGTTTAATCTAACATAAAAATGTGTGAGAAACATTGGCATTCAGTCCATATTTTATATAAATAAGACCCCTTGATTTACAGTAGAAGTATTTGTACCATTTGTAGTACTTTTTCATGAAATTATAACCATAGTGCTGTGGATTTACCATGTTGATCAAACAGTCAAGACAGTGTTTGTGTAAAAGTATTTAAAAATGGAGTTTAATATGATTTCATGTTTTTTAAAAGTTAATATAGAAATTTAATGGGAGGTTGAAACCTGCGTTTCAAAATAGATACATTTATACAGTATTCATGTTTTTTTGGCTATGGACATGTTTGCATTTGACATCAGTGAAATTGTGTATGCACACTAAAGTAATAATGAATCCATGCAGCAAAAGAACTTTATTCTGAAAAGCAAGTCAAAGTATTTGGGGTTACATAGCATCACAAAGCGTGATGTACATTTTTCAAACGGTTTTGCTTGGGAGATTTGAGAAATTAGTTACAGAATCTTGTAAAGTGGCCCCTGGTAGTCTTCCAATGTCTTTGTTTGTGAAAGAATACTTTACTTTCGGCATTTCCTTTACTGAGAATTGTACCTTCTGATTAATGTCTTGTTGCAGCTACAGAAAGGTCCATCTTATATGTTGCTTGCAAGATCTTTCTGTAACTTTATTCTGATTTCTCATCTTTTTTTATTTTCTGCTATAGGTTTCATTTTGATTTTTTCTTATTTCTTCAGCATTTCAAAAAGTTGGTTTACTGGAAAAAGTAACTAGTCCTTGTCAAAACAGAAAAGACATGGCAGTGTATATCTGCTGTTAAGATAGTTCATTTACAGTTTTTTGTGATGTACATATGTTACATAAATTTTCATCTAATAATGGACAAAAATTTATGAATAGCTTACTTGAATGATGTTCCTTTTTGAATAAAAAGGAGAAGTGGAGACAGTTTAGAGGAAAGGAGTAATGTGTTTAATTTACTTGTTTATACCATAAAGATCTGTTTAAAATTAGCGCTGTTTTAATAGAATTAATTGATAGAAACAATTGAAGTAGTTGTAGAATCTCTGCATCAGTATATTGATTTTATTTTTTTTTTAATTATTAATTTTGTACAATTATTTTAGCAACTTGTAATTTGCATTTTGTAGTTACACTGTAGGAGTAAAATATGGAATAAATATGATATTAGTAATGTAAAGCCAGTAAAAGAATGAAGTGGAATATTCATAACCATTTTTTACAGTTTGTAGAATATGTAGGCATAGGTGTCATCATTTATCTAAAAAATTGGTATATGAAAGTGTGAAGCCACATTGAATATCAATCTCAGTAGCTGATATTCCATTGGGAACTTTTTTTTTTTTTTTTTTTTTTAAATATTACATTTGTATTTCCAGATTTGATAAATATTAAGTCAGTTTTTTATGTTCAGGAATGTTGGAGAGGGTATTTTTCTTGGTAGAACCCTCATATTTCTTAAATTTATTAAATTAGCAATACATCTGAAATTTAGGAACATTCTATATGATTGTAGTTGGATTTGTTTTTCCTTTTTTTTCTCTTTTTGCATTTATTTTTACTGAAAGGAATTCTTCCAATTTATCTGCTTTGTATGATAGGCAAAGAAACTAGTTTGGAGCTGAAAGTGGAAAATGGACAAGACACTTTGTGTATTTCACACAATTATTGAATCTTTGAGGAAGAAGATACTCGTGTCTTGATCTTCTTTATTTTTTTACCCTTATATGGAAATCTGTTTTAAGAGATTTTACATCATGGTTGCCATAATTTGTTACACTATGCAAAGATAAAAAAGAATCCTGCATATTGTGGAATAAAAGTTAACTACTATTGTATCTTCCTTTCATTAATTTAAACCTGTTTGTCACATATATAAAGGAAATATCACTAACAAAAATATTTGAAATTAAGCAATTGTGATTCCCTTTCGCATTGAGCTTTTAACCCTTTGGTGCACTATCATTATAGGGGATTACCTTTTACCTTGGACCTCAACCCTTGCTTCAACTAATTTTGCATGGTCTTTTCTTCTTCTCTCCTCTTTCTTGTTTTCTTCATCTCTTCTTGTCCACATCCTAAGGTGTGAGCTGTGTTGAAAAAATGAAAGGCTGGCTTTGTGTCAGTCAGTCATACCCTATTTGCCCTTCTTTACCCTTTTCATTCCTGTACTAAGCTATAGTGCTGTCTTTGACTTCTAACATATTTTGTTCAAATCATTAACTTAATTTTACCCTTTCCAACACAATACTTTATCATAGTGTTATATGACCCTAGATCTTTGGCACATTTGTTCTTACCATTAACCATTTTGGGAATCCATACACATCTCCTTATGAATAAAAAAATACCCTTACCCAGGGGCTTAACCCCCAGGCCTCACAATATTTTGAATATGCCCCGTGAGGAAATTTCCAATAAAAAAAATAACAATGTAGTTTGGTAATCGTTAATGGAAGAAAAGCAAATAGATGTACTAGACATCAAAGGTCATGTAGCTGTATAGGAAGGTGTAGTAGCAAAAAGGTGTAAAGAGAAGGGTTAATGTGTAAATAATCTAATGTGCTACTTGTCAAAAGGGGTACAGCAGTGTGGTTTTAAAAAGTTTAAAGGGAGGTGAGGGTAAAGGGAGGTGAGGGTAAAGAGGCTGAGTAAAGGGATTAGCAAAAGGGAGAGGGTTTCATGGTTACAAAGCAAAATAAATGTGCTAGACATCAAAGGTCATGTAGATTTATAGAAAGACCTAGTAGTGAAAAGGGTAAAGAGGGATGTTAGTTGATTAAACGTGCTACATTTATTTCAAGATAGTATGGTATTGAAAGGGGCAAAGAGGGGTGAGGGTAGAGAGAGTGAGTAAATGGGCTGAAGTAGTGATTAACAAGGGCAAAATTTGTCAAAGGAAGAAGTGTGGGATTCTGCAAGGATGTCTGAAGGGTAAGGTAGGGATTAGCAAAAGGAGGAAGGGAGGTTTGAGGGTGATTAGATCAGTTTCAGGAGAAATGTCAGGAAGAGAATCCAGGGAAGGAGGTTGTTGTGACATTAGGGAGTCATGTACATCTAGGGGGAAGCAGAAATGATAATGGGGAAGGAAGGGAGGGATATGTGATAGGAAGGAGTGGGAAGAAGGGATGTAAGGGATGGATGGATGTTGGCAGTTACTTTTGAGTGTAGAGGGAATGGGAGCAGAGAGACTAGAGGATAGACATAGTGTAGGCATGTTATCTTGGGCCATGATTAGATAGTTTTAGATGTCTTTGAGAGTTTCTGAAGTTTTTTGAAGCGAAGAGGGGACAGACATTTGAGTGTTGGAGGGAGAGTTTGATGTAGGAGAGGATGTGGTAGAAGATAGGGTGGAAAGTTTAGCTTGTTACTTGTGATGAGTAGAGCGAGGAGGAAGAGAAATAAGTACCAGGGAAATAGATGGTTAATGGTTAATGGTTGAAACAAATATATGTGCTAGACATCTGAGGGCATATAGCAATATGGTACAGTTTTTGTGAAAAAAAGGGTAAATGAGCTAACAATTAGGATAAAGAGTATTAGAAATCACAGGTTATAGTGATATAGGATAGTATAATAGGGAAAAGAGTAAAGAAGGGGTACAGATGAAGTAAATTGTTGATTAATAAAGGAAAGGGTTAAGGGTGTAGGGCGACTGGATGAAATGGGGTGTTTCTGTTGCTGGGGAAGCTATTGGAACATGGTTTTAAGGAAAACTGGTAAAAGGGCTGTTATAAAATAATCAATGGGTAATATGAATAGAGATGACTGAGAAATAGCAGAAGAGTCAGGGGATCAGATAAGGGGACTGGAGAAGGTGGCAATGTATCAGGAAGTGTCAGGAGGGAAAGAATCAGGAGAATGACAGTTGCAACAGGGGATTCATGTGAGTATCCAGGTGGGAGAGGTAAGGATAATGAAGAATGAAAAGGAAATGGTGTACAAGGAGAAGAGAGGATGGGATGTGTTGGCAAAGAGTAGGAGGAAGAGGGGTAGGAGGATGGATATCAGCAAATACTCTGAATGTAGAAGGACTAGGAATAGAGGGATTGGAGAGTGAATGAGGGAATGGAGCATTTTCTTGGGTCATGTCTAGGAATTTAGGTTTCCAAGCTTCTGGAGAGAATTTGGGTAGGGAAGTCTGAGAAACAAAGGATCTCTTCTGAGGAGGAGAAGAGGGGATAGATGTTCGAGGAGCAGAGGAAAAGGAGGGTGTGGAAGAAGATTGAGTAGAACATGTAGGTTGTCTGGTGGGATGGGTAAAGTGAGGGGGAGAAAGGATAGGCATCTGAGAAGTGGTAGAGATTGGAGTATCAGGATTTAGAATGGAAAAAGGAATTTGATTGGGGATAGGGAGAGTAGAGGTAGGATGGTTCAGGGTAGAGGGAAAAGATACTGGAGGAGATGCAGGAACATCTTGTGGAGGAGGGATGCAGAGCAAAGGAGTGTTTTGGAATAGATAGAGAGAAAAAACCTTGTCTCCATGCTTCCTGTCTAGCCTTATGTTGGAGTAAGGCCTTGTTTGAATTTGAGAATTGCTACCTCACATTTGTGCTTATAGGCAGGGTAGCTCCTATAAAATATGTTAGTACATGTATGTGACTGAGCAGGGCAATTTAAATGGGCATGACCAGGTTGGGCACATAGAGGGCAGCGGGCTGTGGAGTGGCAGTGTTTAGCTGGGTGGCCAGAGTGTCTGACATTGATGGGGAAGAGGTCGATATGGTGGGACACCAATATAAACTTTGTGGGGGAGGTCATGTCTAATCTTGGCAGTATTGACATGGGACTTTTGCTGGCCTCTGGGAGGAATAGTATAGCTTTGTACTGCTACTGCATCATTATCAGCAAGGCAGGTAAGTAGGTCATTTTCAGTCTGACCAGTTATTGTTGTAGATACGACAAGTTGTTGGGGGGATAGGAACAGTTCCAATACAAGTATTAAGAGACAGGTGAGGTTTGGCAGGAATGGGTTTGCCAGTATAATTAGTGTATATTGTACTCAAAAGGTTTGCAGATGTAGAGGCAGTAGAAGGATGAGGGTGGGAGTAAGATGTTATAGGGTGAGGACAATAAGGATGAAGAGTAATAATAAGGTAAGAGGAGGCACACATTGAAGAAGACTGTGCAATAGGAGATGGAGAAGAAAATGTTGGGAGAGAGAAAGGAGTGCATTCTGGAGGGTGAGTAATAACCTGGGTAGGTGGTTCAGAATGGATAGTTGTTGGTAAACATCAAGGAGCGGATATTAGCATCAGTGGTTGGAGCCATGGTCAAATGAGGGGCAGCCATCAGAAAACCATCAAAATTGAATTCAGATAGGCTAGTTCATAAAGGGGCAAGCCTTAATGGCCTTATTAAGGGTAAAGAATCTTCATTATTGGCCATGGTGAGCTTGAATAAAATGGGGAAAAGAAACAGTCTATACCTCAGGGTCCCCATAAGGGGTAAGCAATTAACTAAGGAAATACTGTGGCCATGGCTCCCGGAGGCCATTAATAACTGACATAAAGCTGGCCTTTCATCCTTTCCGCACAGCTCTCACCTTAGGAATGGGATGGAAGAGGGGATGAAGAAGATACAGAAGAGGAAAGGGGGAGAAGAAAGGACCATGCAAAATTGGCTGAGGCCCAAGGTAGGGGTAATCCCCTACCTTGGGCCTCAGTCTCCGTCTACAAAGCCTCCACGACCACAATGAGCAAGGTATTAGGAGGGCTGGGGAAGTAGAGATTGGAGTGTCTGGAATAGTGATAGATATTGGGGGGTCTGGATTTAGAATGGCAAAAAAATTTGATGTGAGAGGGAGGGGATACAAGTGGGATGAGGTAGAGATACTGGGGCTAATGTATAAACTTTGACTAATACAGTCCATTACACAGAGCAATGGACCGTAATAGAGTAGGGTATAAGAGAGAAGTACTTCATGTCTGGCATCACAGAAAGTGAGACAGATATCTGAGAATTGCTACCTCAGACTTAAACTTGTACATACTGACAGCCCCTATAAAGTACTTTATGGGAGCCACCACAATTGGCACATGTGTGATTGTGCAGAGCAATTTGATCACTCATGACTTGGTTGGGCACACAGAGGGCATTAGGCTGTGGAGTAGCAGTGTTTGGCACCTAGAAGCAAATAATTCTGAAATTAATGGGGGAAAAGTTGATATGGTCTGATAGGGAGGGAGAGACTGCCCATATAGATATCAAGGGGTCATATCTATGGAAACTAATCTTGACAATAATGGTGGAAGACTTACAGCGGCCTCTAAAAGGAAAGCTGTAGCATCATAGTTCAAGAGCAGGCGAGTAGGTCAGGGGAAAGGGTTATTAGATTTAATGGAGGATACAGGTCTGTGGGAATAGAAACCTCAACTATCCCAGCATAAAAGAGCTATTATGAAACATGTGAAAGAGGTAAGAGAAATAGGAGAGTAATTTGGGGAATGAGACAGTCAAGTGCAAGTACTAGGGTTACTGTCAAAAGGGGAAGAAATAAGGAAGGGCACTGTGATGACAAAAGGAGTTGTGCGTGTTTCCAAGAGGGAGTGGAAGGGATAACAAGGAAGGAAAGGGATATAGTGCTGTTGGAGCATGGGGGATGGGGTGCGTTAGGAGGAAGGGCTGTAGGAGGAGCACGAGGTGGAGGATGGATGGATGTCAGCAATCACGTCTAGTGTAGAGAGAATGGTAGCAGAAAAATTGGGGGGTGGATGAGGGATAGGCATGATTTGGGGTCACATTTAGGAAGTTTGACTGTCCAAGAATTCTGATACAAATAATATGGGAGGAGTGAGGTTGGGCAGGAAGTTTGCCAGTGAGGTCAATCAGGGTAGATAATGCTGAAGCCTGGGACTTGGATGTAACTATGACAAGGCATAAATGATGTGGAAGGAAACTTTCCCTGCAGGCTTTAGGAGACATCATTGGAAGGGTATTGTCTGAGTAAGGGACTGTAGAGGGAATTGCATAAAATTGATCCGTCTTAGCTAGGCTAAAACGAGTAATCAGAAGGAATGTAGAGGAGAGTACCAGTAGGACAAGGATAAGGGGAAGAGGGAGTGGTGTTGATTGTATGCAACAATTTGGATGAAAATTAGTAATAAGGGGGGAGGGGGTTGGAAATGAATACTGGTGGATGAGGAGATAGAGTGGAGAAGGTTAGGTGAGAGGGAAGAATGTTTTGTGAAAGTTGGGTAATGACCTGGGTGGGTGACTTGGATAACTAAATGGAAATACCGTGCCCATGGCTCCCTTAGGCCATTCAGGAATGACCCAAAGCCAGCATTTTATCCTTTCAACACAGCTCTCACAGAAGGAGTTGGAGAAGAGAAGGAAAAGAAAAGGGGGAGAAATTAGTTGAACAAAGGGCTGAGGCCTAGAGGAGGGGAAATGCATAACAACAGGCATGGGACTGGGAGGGGGGGATATCAAATAATAATAGTAAATAGTTAATGACAAAAAAGTAAAAAAGAGTGAATACAGGCAGTTTTAACAAAGTAGTAGAACAAACAATCAGATGGTAAAACTATTTATGGGTGGAAGACCTATGATACCTGTTGACTAATGGGTATTCTCCTAAGTGTTACTTGAATTGTTCCAGATTACTTTAAATGGAAAAAATAAATGTATACCCATTTTATTGTTCTCATTTTAGCAAGGGCATACCAATCTTGTTTTGGTCATTAAATTGGTGGTTCCATTAGGTGTAGTGTGCACTTTATCAGTCATCCTCAGCTATTGCAACAAATAATTTTGTACGGTCTTTTCTTATCCTTCTCTTCTTCCACCCCATATTATCTCTACATTTGAAAGTGTAAGAGTCGTGCTGAAGGATGAAGGGCTGTTTTTTTGTCAGTCCTGAACAGCGTTCATACTGTATTCTACCCTTTTCATTATCATACTAACATGCAGCACTCTACAACCTTTGACATCTAACATAATTTGTCCTAATTGTTTACTCATTTTACCCTTTTTGGCACAGCATTTTAACATTAATTTATTTATTGAAAATTTTGTTTCGTCAACTTCAAAGGTCATTAGCAGCATATACAAAATATAGCAATAGGGCATGGCATGGTGGCAAGGCCACCAGGTAATGAAAGTATTGTGGAAAAAAGGTAAAAATTGAGTTGACAATTAAGACAAAATATTAGATGTTAAAAGTTGTAGAGCACTATAGGATATTATGGTAGTGAATAGGGTAAAGTGAGAATAGCAAACGAGTAGGAAGGCCATTCAGATTCAGTTTGTTTTAATTCCATTTGTTACAATGGATATTCTTTGCTGTGACTTACTTTATATAAGTCTCTTTTATTTTGCCCAAATCACCCCGTGTGCAAGGAATGGCCGGGGACACCACTCACTGGCCTGGGCGTGGGATTGAACGCAGGTCTGCAAGATTGCTAGACCAGCACCTTACCACTGCACCAACACAGCACACAACCTCAATCAGGGCTTGCACAACGCCAGCCCTTCATCCTTTCAGCATGACTCTTACACTTTAGGATATTGACAGAAGAAAAGGTTGACAAAGAGAAGGAAAAAGACAGGAAAAGACCACGCAAAATTAGTTGAGGCAAGGGCTGGGGTCCAAAGCAGGGTGGACCCCCCCACATTGGGCCTCAGTCCTCGTGTCTTAAGCACCCCTATGACAATAGACAGACAGGGATCAGGGGGCATTTTAAAATGGTGCAGTATGACCTTTCCTTACCTAGGGGCTTTGTCCCCAAGCCTTACCATTTTGCTATATTCTGAATACACCACTAATGACCTCAGATGTTGACCAGAAAATTTTCAATAACTGATGATATATCAGTTAGACTGAGGTTGTACATATTTATGAGGAATGTTGGGTAAAATTTATCCTCCAACAAATGAAAAGAATCCAAAAATAACTAAAGGCACTAGTTGAATAGGAAATGCCCAATTATATTTTTCCCACCTTGCCGTCAAATTTTCATAATTTGTTTCCCTCAAATGCTTGCCTCCTTTTTTTCTTACTATAATTAAAAGAATAGGATATTAAAACAGTAATATACATCTTTGAGTTTTTACTCTGCTTCTTTTCCACTAAACTGCGTAAAATATTTTATACATCAGTTAACATTCCAGGATCCAAATGAGACCCATATTTATCAAACTTAGTAATAAATGAAAATGTATGATATTTGCTGAGATAATGATGTGTTCCTAGTGTTATGTTTATGAGCTGATCTGAAATGATTCAATAAATAACAAGACTCATACTGACAAGATTTGCTGTCAAAGAGAAGACTTGCATGGCAAATCTTTAACTGCACTTTATGAAGGATTATCAAAGTGGGTAATGACGAATAAATTAATCCTTTTTTTTTTCTTTTCTTTTCTTTCTTACCTCTAAAGTGACTGTCTACTGGTTTTATGCTGTTCCTTGAACTAAACTTTTTTTGTTGTTGTTATCAATGAGACTATTGAAGGTTGCACCAATGATTTTCTCGTCAATAAAAAGCAGGATAACATGCATACAGATAACACCTAAAAATCCCAATCAACGAAATGGATATTTCAAAAATGCCCTTAGTGTCAACCACTAGCTTGTGTCCAAAATATTTTACATTTTACATAAACTGTCTGAAGACATGCAGTATTGTTTAAAAAACTGATTTATAATGGATAAAAAAGAACAAAAAACTAAATGAATTAGCTTATCATTATTACATAGGTTTTGTTTGCACATATAAAAAGATCAGCATGAGCAATAACTGCTTCCAACAGTTAATATGTTATGTTATTAATGCCATGATTATATGCAGTGATAGCAACCTATGTTGCAAGAGCAATTTGACTCTTCCATGTCAATGTTTTAACCTACAAAAATAATGAACTGCCCAACTTATTACAGTTTCCAAAATACCTTTTAGATGACAGTAAAACCATTACAAGTTTAGGTAAGTTCAGTTGCATTGCAATATATCCACTACAATGCTGACTTCATCATAATTAAGTCATGCCAACCAGCAGCAACAAGCCTTACCAAAATATCCCCCTACACAATTGTGACAAATCTTTACATGAACATAACTTTTGGCAATCAACCAAGCAGTCAGGCAAAACAAGGACTGCAATAAGGTCATCAAGTTTTGCGGATGGAAATGGCTATTTTTTGGTTCACTTCGGCTATTTCAATGAAAGTGTACTTGCAACTACTTTCCTATGCATTGGCCCTTCATATCAAGCCCTTCTTTTTCTTGTACTCTTCAAGATTTAATGATCTTTTTGGTGCAGTTCCTATGGAGCTTCCATTGGTTGCATTACCTATTGTTGCTTTTGGTGCCAAGGGAGCTGTGGCTGTGTGAGTTGTGAAAAACAGAAAATGATAAGGGGGAAATCAAATATGAACTTTTATACAATTAAACATAATTGTTCATGAAAGATGCAACAAAAATATATACAAAAATCAGAATAAATATCTTACAAAAATTATCCATCACCCTTTTCTCAAATAAAGCCAATAAACTCTCAAGTCTGGAAAACTAACCTGGCATTGACACATCCAAGTCAATTTTGACATCAAAATCGTGGGCTGCAAACAGGTCTTCTGCTTGCACTCTCTTCCGTTCATCATCCTTTTTCTTCTCGTCTTCTTGTTTTCTTTTGGCAGCTTCTTCCTCCTATTGAACAAAAATGAGAGATCTTAGACAAGATATAAAAGCCAAGAAAAATGGGTCAGCATATTCCTTTCTTTCCTTCTAACCAACAACAACTTAAAAACAAGGAGGAAAGATACATCACCTTTTTCTTTTTTTCTTCTTCTTGTTTTATTTTCCTTTCGTGTTCTAGACGTATCAACATCTCTGAAGAAACGACTTCTGGTTCCTTAGTTTTGGTCACCATGGTTGGGCGGGTTGAGCGACGAGTGAAAGGATCCTCCACTTTCATTCCTTTCTTTGCTGCAATTTCAGCCTATAACGAAAGTTTTTACTCTCAATCAAATCAAACAGGATAAAATGGTTTAAAATGTATTACATTATGTAACATAAAATAGACACAAATCAAAGTCAACACCCACCATAATAGCTCTTTCTGCCTTTTCGACATTATTCTTACGATTTCTTTCATTAATATAAGAAATGGATGCAATAGTTTGTGTTCTTCGTTTGTCAAGTGAGCTTGCCTTTTCATCAAGATCAGCTATCTGCCCATTAAGTTTTTCTACGGTCTGAAAAGTTGAAGAAAAATAGTATGTACCCTAATTTCTATATAAATATTTTCAGAGTGAGAAGAACATGTTAAAATATGAAATAAGAGTACTTTTTTTTTTTTTCTGTTTTCCTTATTCAACATATTTCCAACCTCAATCATTATACATTCATCTCTTACACTTACATCTTCATCCCCTTTTTGTTGTGCCATGTCCTTTTCTTTCATGAGTAAAGTTTTGGCAACAGCAAAATTGGTTGGATTATTGTTGAAACGTGCTTTTTCTTCTACCATCTGTAAATCAATACCAAAACCAATTCACACTTTGTATTTAGGGTGGTTAGAAAATACAGAAATACAATTATGTGACATTTCTTAGAACCCATTTCACCAAAGTAAAGCACTATGCATTACCTTATCAATATCTTCACTACTGAACTGATAGTAAAGAAGGTCTTGTATATCCTTTTGTTTCTGAATTACATGCTCCATTAAAGGTAAAGGAGTTCCATGTGCTGCACAGTCTTCTACCCACTTGTTGTACTCAGAGTCAGAGAAGACACTGTTGCTTACAAATTCCAGTCTGAAGACCCTTTCATGAGAGCCATGCCTAGAAAGGAAGGAATCGCTTTCTTAACTGGCTAATGTTGTGTATCATGTATAAATGGCAAAAGTTATTACATGTTGGGTAATAATATTCTGAACTATGTATCTGTATACAAAATGATAACCTATTTTTATGTACGGTACAAACTACACTGATAAATATTATTCAACAAAGTACTCATGGCTACATCCTGTATGAAGTGAAATACATAATATTGTGA